TTAACCCATCGTGACAAAATCAACAATAATTAATTAATCACGACAGTTTCCAGGGGGAACAGCCTGGAGGTCGATTTTACAGGGTGTATAGGTAGGAATGGGGCCGCTAGTCCCCATTACTAATAACCTCTTTCCCTCATATATACATATACACGAAGATGAGAATAGTATTATGAGAATATGTCTATCAATAATTATGTATAACATATGTATAATACAAGCTTTGATTAGTACGGAACTAGGTGGCGTTGGATACTTATTAATTATTATTAATTTATTTGGTTATATGTTAAAATTGGTGAAATTGAAATGTGGTGCTGGAGAAGGATGGAGAAAATTAGCTGGAGATATCGAATTAGTAGTGAGGAGGTACTGCTTAGGGTTAAGGAAAAGAGACAAATTATAAGAACTATTGAGGAAAGAAGGAGAAAAAATGTTGGGACACTTGATACGACACGACGAACTTATGAACATTATAATAGAAGGTAAGATAGAAGGAAGGAGGGGAAGAGGGAGACCAAGGCATAGTTACATTAGGCTGATCAAGGAAGGAGTTGGTGTCGTGTCGTAACAAGAGGTGAAGAGACTCGCTGAAAATCGTAGTGAGTGGCAAGAGCTCCACCGACAAGAGTGCAGCTCTTAAATAGGTTAGATAGATAGATGCTAAAATTAATATTGGGGGGGGGGGGGGAATATAACCAAACTGTACTGGTATCAATATCAATAGGAGCATCCAGTAACTACTAGCGACCACGTAGACGGCACACATTTGATTTGCCGTTGTGAAGGACAGAATTGGCCAAGCAAGCTCCCCTCTCTATTACATTCATCATCGTCATCATTTCAGCCATTATCCGTCCACTGCTGGACATAAGCCTCCCCCATAGACAGCCATAAAGAACGGTCCTGAGCCACCTGCATCCACTGTCTCCCTGCAATGCATTTCAGGTCGTCACTTCATATAGTGGGGGGTCGTCCTACACTGCGATTACCCGTACGCGATTGCCGCTCAAAAACCTTTCTTCCCCATCGATTGTCGGTTCTTCGAGCTATGTGACCAGCCCATTGCCACTTCTTCCTCTTCCGTCCTCGCAGTTTCAAACATGGATGCGTCAAAGATCCACTGACATACAAAACCAAATGACTATTAAAACGTCTTTTATTATATATCTAGACAGGAAAAACTTTAAAACATTGATAGGGACAATAACGGACCATTGCCCATTAAACAAACATCTATACACAATAGGAGCTACAGACAGCCCTCTATGTCGAGGCTGTTTCGACGCCGAAGAAACGACTGCTCACGTAATCCTGGAATGTGAAGCTGTGGCCCCTCAACGTTTAGAAGTCCTCGGAAAGTTCACTTCGGGGCCTGTGGAGATATCAGGAAGCTTCTGTGCTTCTGGGCTAGATGTACTAGTCATGACTTATATGCACAATGGCCCAAATGAGAGGCTACGTGCGGAAAATAAAGTCCAATTTACATTTACAATAAATGGACATTTGGCTAAAGAGTGGATTATATTATCCACTGTCACGTTGACAGTGTGATTAAAGATGTCGTTTCTATCAGTCCAACAGATGTCTAGACTAATTTAATTCTCTTTTTGTCTAGACAGTGCGATGCGTCCCGAATTGCCACTCAATCGTTCGAGACACTGCGTGTTTCTGATATCGTGGTATGGCCATTTTCATTGTACGATAAAAAAAATTTCTTACGAATGAGCACGAAAATCTGAAGGTGATATTTTAAGTAAATAATCATGTATTATTATTATTTCAGCCGTTAACTGTCCACTGCTGGACACAAGCCTTCCCCTTTAAGGAGAGTTTTGCCAATAGTTGCCACGCTTGGCAGGCGGATTGGCAACCGCAGTTAGGCGATTTTAGTACCTGTATATACTAAAATAAATATGCACAAAGAGAGATATATCAGTCACATTTTTTTTATACAACTTAGAATAGCAAACAAGCTGACGGTCCACCTGATGGAAAGTGGTAACCGTCGCCTATAGACATGAGCAGTACCGTGGACATAACAGAGTATACTGTTTCGGCTATGATACCCCCCATGCGTTGCCATTCCTGAGGACTCAGGTGTTATTCCTCTGTACCCAGTAAATTCACGCCATATCCCACACTTCAAACCGAAACACAGCCATGCAAACACAACTGCTTATATAAATATAAACAAAAAAAATTATACTCACGGTCATATTCGATACCAACACGGAACGTTTTGGTCTCATAATAATTTGGATAGCCCGAAACTAATGCAACACAACTCAGAACAATCACAAACTTAGCTCCCGACATTTCGTTCGCCGAATTGTTTTAACAGATGTCAAATAATGATTTCTCCAGTGTACGAATGATTTATCTAGATATGTCAACAGTTTAAAGATATTGTGATAAGTTCATCTAACCGCCGATATCGGATGCATGGAACATTGAAAATATTGTTTATTTCGTAATTTGTTAATCTTATCTTTGCAACTGTATGATCTTGTTAGCAATCTAACCTAGATTGCGAAATAACGGTTAGTGTCGTAGACTTAGATAGGTATAGATAGAGCAAATGCTTCAAATGTAAACTAAGCATGCCACTATACTACACTCTCCTTAGTGTCACAAAGAACATATTTATTTATTTATTCATTAGTACAAATATGTGTTGTACATGGCGGACTTAATGCTAAAAGGATTTTCTCCCAGTCAACCATAGGGAAGTGTCAGAATACTCTAATTATTGATATACATACATACTAAAATTACATATATAAACGAATAAATATATATGAATAACAAATATACTTCCACTTTCAATTTCGTGTATAATATAGTATATATCATATATATATATATACTATATTATACACGAAATTGAGAATAATATAAAGCACTTACTGCTCGGATAAAGATAATAAGTGAGCGTGAACGCTTTTTTTGAAAGACGGTTTAGTCGGTAGTCTCTTGATGGCATCAGGAAGCGCGTTCCAGAGTCGTGAAGTACGGTGTTGTTATGCACAAAAAAAAAAAAAATTCACGAACACACGCTCAAACGATGCGATGTTTCTTAGATAATCAACCACTCTTTAGATTCAACTTCCAGCAGCAGTATTTCCGAACCGATACGACAACATAACCTTCAAGAAAAGAGCATATTCCTTTTTAAAAGCGCCGGCAGCACACCTGCAATGCCTTTGGTGTAATGGATGATCGTGGGCGGCGGTAGTCACCATCAGGTGAACTGCATGCTTATTTGCCCTTGTGTTATAAAAAAAAAAAGATAACTCACCTACATTGTTAATATTTGAATTTAGAACGCGGGATTGCGTATTTATATATTTTGCGTTAAAACACCAGTTTCAGATGTCACAAAACGAAATTATTATAAGTCTAATGCATAAATAAATCCTATTGATTTAAAAAAGGAATAGTTAGGTAATTTTTTTTTTAAGTTTTTTACCATTAATATGGGTGTGGCTGGTAACAGTTGATAATTGATGACTTATTCTTAATAGAAGTTCTACGGCCTTCCATATTAGTAATCGATCTCCGACTGTTATTCCGTCCACGATTATATTGTAACACGTGATTTATCGAAACATCTTTAGGCAAATTAATAGATTGCTGCTCGGAACTAGTGTTGACCTTTCGGCGTCTAGACTGCGAATAAGAATAATATAAAAATTCTAAAAATAAAAAAATACATCTACTCAATTAACTAGTGTAATATATTTTCGCAAGGGGGAAAGGGATTGTTAGTAATGGAGACTGAGAATCCCATTGCTAGCAATATATCCAACCAGGTCGACCTCCTCGCGGTTCCCCCTGGAAACTATCATGATTAATTCCTGATGCATTCATCATGATGGGCTAACTGGCCTGTTTTCATTCTCATCTATCACCCTTCACTGGTGCTCCGCCAGCGTATTCCGTTAGCGCAGGCGGGGTTACCATTCCATTTTCACCTATCAAAAAAGATATATATATATTTCCGCAAACATATAGTTCAGTAAATTAATCTAAAATAATTGTGTGAAAATCGATTCAGAAAAGGCGGCGTAATCGCATAATATAAAAACATAAAAATTCACTCGACTACCTTCTATTGAGAGCCACTTAAAAACTAAGTGTGTTGCCACTGAGCTACTTGGTTACAAAAGTTAGTTATAGAGAAAAGTTCCTATCGCACTAAACTCTTCAGAACACACTTAGGTACTGACTGTAATGTTGTTACGTCAATTGTCTAAACTTTTGTTGACGTGTATTTTATGTCGAAATATAATTATAGTTAATTAAATAAATAAAATAAATATTACGATATACCTCATAACGTTATTTGATTACAAATTTAGTAGGCTTTTTAACAAATTCTTTCTTTTTATATACAACTTACTATGGCAAACAAGCTGACGGCCTACCTGATGGAAAGTGGTAACCGTCGCCTATAGACATGAGCAGTACCATGGACATAAATACTCTGTTATGTCCATGGTACCCCCCATGCGTTGCCATTCCCGAGGACTCAGGTGTTATTCTTCTATACCCTGTAAATTCACGCCATATCCCACCCTTCAAACTGAAACACAGCCATGCAAACACAACTGCTTTACGGTTGAAACACGAATGGGACAGAGGTACCCAAGCAATCGACTTTTGTACAAAGTCTCTCTATGGTTAATTCATTATTATCATCGAGGTTTTCCCTAAACACCACAGTATGGGGTTCTTCAAGAAGGGTTAAGGGTTTCTTCAGGTTAGCGACGTGCACGTGACACCCCTAATGTTGCAGGCGTCCATAGGCTACAGTAATTATTAATCAGACGGGCTATATGCTTGTTTACCACCTTTGTGGTATAAAAAAATCACTGCTATCAATAAGATCTCTCATAAGAGGGACATATACTGCTTATTGAGGTGAAAAATACCAATGAATATTTCACCATCTAGTCACAGACTAAGCAGATCTTATGCTAATAAAATTAACTAAATACATGCTGTTGCGATATCTATTTATAATCATATCTGTGGGTCATATCTCTACAAGATATAGTAGTAAGTTATAAATAAATTTTCAGGGATCCGCAGCTTCTTATAAATTTTGTTGTATTTGTATGTTTGTTTGGTTGTTACTACTAATAATTTCTGTGCGAGTGGCGCCCTCTAGCGTCAATACTTTTTAAGCTACTTAGTATACAAAGATCTGAACTTGTTGAATAGCTTTACGTGTCTTCCGAAGGAAGCAATAAGAAGTCGAAGCAAGCGATAAATAATTTTGAAATAACTCCCCATAAATCCATATTAATATACTGATTATCATCGTGTCAGTCATTAAATGTCCTGCTGGAAGTAGACCACCCCTTTGGGTGGTTTTTCCGGTAGTTGCCATATTTGGCAGGCGGATTGGCAACCTCAGTTAGTGATAGTTTAGTGATATTTTAAGAAGGACGCTGTTGCCCATCCATTAAATTTCCTTAGTTACTTTTTACGACAACCACGGGAAAAGAAGGGGAGGTCCGTTCTATGACGGGACCACACGGTAAATATTGATAATACACCAATAAAACTATGAGTATAATAGTGAAGAATACAATTATTACAATAAAAAAGTAAAAAGGGTGATCTTTGAAAAAAAATCAGAAATTTAAAATCAAGAAATTTAGGCAGGGAGTCAATTTTGAGGTACTTTATCTATTGATTTAAGACAATAATTCAGGAGAAATGGACCCCTTCAGTAAGGCATATATGCACTCTTAGACACATTTATTTATTTATTCATTAGTATAAATATATGGAAATGGCGGACTAAATGCTGGAAGCATTCTCTCCCAGTCAATCATAGGAAAGTGTCAGAATACTCGAATGCGGTACTAGTAATCATTGATATATATACATACTAAAATTACATATATAAACGAATAAATATATATAAATAACAAACATACACATATATGACATATACTATATTATACACGAAATTGAGAATAATATAAAGTATTTACTGCTCGGATAAAGAAAAAAAGTAAAAAAACGTTTTTTTTTAAAGACGATTTATTCGGTTACACATCTTTGCAAAGCTCGTTTGTATCCTAGGTTGGGCACTAGACCATTCTGGAGTGGGCATGGTCCATCTAGTCCCCTCCGAAATACACCTATAACCATTTCTCTAAATCCATCTGTTCATATTTTAATTTAATAGTTTTCGGACATTAGTGTTTTATTAATTTGAATCTTTGGCGTGAATTTATTATGTACGGAAGAATAACACCTGAGTCCTCAAGAATGGCAACGCATGGGGGGTATCATGGACGAAACAGTATACTCTGTTATGTCCATGGTACTGCTCATGTCTATAGACGACGATTAGCACTTTCCATCAGGTGAGCCGTCAGCTTGTTTGCCATTCTATGTTGTATAAAAAAAATCTCATTACTAATAATCCTTTTCCCCCTGCTCAGACATTACCATTCCATTTGTACCCATAAAAAAAAATTTGTAGGATGTACCATAAGGATCCATTATCATTCATATTATTAGAAAAGGGTTTTTCCTCATGAGAGGAGGACATTAGCCCACCATTACTACGATGGCGGTTTGGACAGGGTTTTGTGGCGAGTTTTCCTTCCGTACACTAGACGTATGGTAGTTTATATCCTTAAACATCGTTTAACAGTGTGGTAAGATATTAGATGCGCCAAAGATATGTACGCACATAACTACCGTAAGACTAATAAGTCTTACAACATTGCCCAATCAACCGTGAAGCAGTTGTGTTTGCCTGGCTATGTTTCGGTTTGAAGGGTGGGATATGGCGTGAATGTACTGGGTACAGAGAAATAACATCTGAGTCCTCAGATGTATGAAACAGTATATCCAAATATATACTCTGTTATGTTCATAGTAGGTACTGCTCATGTCTATAGGCGACGGTTACCACTTTCCATCAGGTGGGCCGTCAGTTTGTTTGCCATTCTAAGTATTATAAAAAAAAAAAACAATCGAATAGAGAAACTCTTTCTTTTTAAAGTCGATTGAGATAGGAATATAAAAATTGGCTGGATGGTCAAGTTATGTGCAATAATTCCCTTTTCTAGTAATTTATTTCTATCAGGTCGACTTCCACGCGATTTCCCCGTATACCATCGTGGTTAATTCCTGGCAAATACATCACGATAGCCTTTAGTCGTTTTTTTTAATAAGAACAGGGGGCAAACGATCATGCGGCTCACCTGATGACAAGTAACTGTCGCTGCCCATGATCACCCACAATACCAGAAACACTGCAAGTGTGCTGGCGGCCTTTTAAAAAGGACTATACTCTTTTTTTGAAGGTTAGGATATCGTTTTACATTCGGACCTAACATCACTCTTTAGTACACTGCCAACTGGTATCACAAACGGGGTTATTATGCCATTGTCATCCCATTAA